AAAGTTGTAGATCTTTTTATTACCTACAACTTTGCCATTTAACTTTTTTCCATAAGACTTGTAGTTTTTCCGGAAATCAAGGGTAACCGTTTTTTACCCTTAAAAACTCACCCCTTCCCCTTCCCGATCTCAGATCGCCCGTAAATTATTTTTCCTTTAATTTCTGTTATATTCTCTTCCTTTTCCAATGGGTTTCATCCTACTACAATTTTTTTCACTTTTTACCATTTTTGAAGGCTTAAGCACTGGTCTATATGTACGTGATGCCCATTGCGCCCACCTAAATGACGATAAGCAAAAAGTCTTTGAAAATGTTTTACTAAGAAAAGTTTCAAATTCCTTAGAATAGAACAAATTGACATGCTCAGAAGCCATAAACATTACTAATAAATTGTAAATATACAAGGTCATTCAATNGGTTATTTGAATTTTTCACATAAATTTTGAGGTTATGTGAAAAAAGTGTAAATACAAAAGTTGTAGATCTTTTTATTACCTACAACTTAGCCATTTAACTTTTTTCCATAAGACTTGTAGGTTTTCCGGAAATCAAGGGATCTCAGATCGCCCGTAAATTATTTTTTCTACAAAACTGTTAAAAGTGGGCTTTTTGATTGTCATTTTTGATGTTAAAAATGTCATTTTTTGACACGCGTGTTAAAAAAATGACATTTTTAACATCAAAAATGACAATTAAAAAGCCCACTTTTAACAGTTTTGTAGAAAAAATAGTGTATGATATACGTGTTAAAAGTGATTTTATTTTGTTCGTGAAGTTAAAAAACTCGCTACGCTTGTTTTTTAATCATCTTCACTCACAAAATAAAATCTTATTTTTAACACGTATATCATAAATAGCTATTTCCTTTCATTTCTGTTATATTCTCTTCCTTTTCCAATGGGTTTCATCCTACTATATTTTTTTTTCACTTTTTACCATTTTTGATGGCTTAAGCACTGGTCTATATATACGTGATTCCCATTGCGCCCACCTAAATGTCAATAAGCAAAAAGTCTTACTAAGAAAAGTTTCAAATTCCTTAGAATAGAACAAATTGACATGTTCAGAAGCCATAAACATTACTAATAAATTGTAAATATACAAGGTCATTCAATCATAATGTTATTAATTTTAACCATGTACTCGAAGGGCCTAATAAAGACAGAAAATCGAAAAAAAAAAAATTTCACGACCTTTTAAAAGACTTTAATTCGGTGCCCACACATTTTCTGACCGGGACTACAAAGCGTTCGAACATTGAAGCGAAACAGCCTTGCCGAATCAGAACTACATAAATAATAAAAACATATCAAACCTACCAACGTTAATAGTATCTTGTGTACTGTTTTCCCGCAACCTTGGAAACCAGGTCATACCTATGGAGTTGGGATATGTAGAAAGTATGCAGAATGCAATATAAAATACAACCCGCAGTTTATTTCGGATTGTTTCGAGTGTCGATCGTAATGACTAATTTTGCGAATTTGGCTTCCTTGCCACAGATAAACATTTCTCTTTTCTCAAAAATTTTGCCTGTGTGTAATAAATTTTCGCCTCTAATTTAATTTCCCAATTAATAAAGGATAATGACACTCACCTAATATTTTTAAATGAACGAAATCAGTAACACGCAAAAAACTCATTGTTTACAATTTATCTCCTCACTCCATATTTTTTCCCGCATTGTATATTATCGTCACATTTCAATATGCTGCTGATTAATGGAAGATTAGGCAAGATTATTTTATCATATCTTTAAGAACTCGAGTCTCAAGGGTTTGTGTCTTCATTCACGAATGTAATGTGCGCCCGAATTTAAGAAATATGAAAAGCCACGTCTTTGTAGTCCTCTTTTGTGCGCATCACGCTTTTGCTTTGGACGATACCTTCCTGGGGCAATACGAAAATTACTTCCTTCCACCCCCGAGCGATCTTGACACGAAAGCCGTAACCACGCAGTACTTTTCTCAAGTTTTGGACCACTATGACCCCACGAACACAGCCCGCTGGTCACAGGTACTTAATACAGAAAAACATTTTTACAAAATAACTATTGTCATTAAATTGTTTTATTTTGTCTCCTGTTAAAAAAAGAAGATAATTCCAAGGACAATACGTGATTTCTGATGAACAACTCACGTTATTCCTGAATTCATTTTTAGTCACATTTTTCTTATTCCAGAGGTATTTTGTAAACACGCAACATTTCAATACGACTGAAGGATTTGTCGTGTTCCTCCTGATTGGGGGTGAAGGACAAGCTGGCGTACAATGGATGTCCGCTGGAGCATGGATCCAAACTGCGAGGGAATATGGTGCTCTCTTATTTCAGCTGGAGCACAGATTTTACGGAGAAAGTCACCCGCTTAGGTATGTTCGTGTTAAATCTAGAATCAGTTTCTTAATTCCCAATTGCGGTTTGCTTCAACATTTTTCCGAATCTGACGCAAAAATATTAAAGAGGATATGAGTCATTATTAAACTTATCAATGCCTTACCGTTAAGTTTTTAATTGCAAATTATCATGCTTGTACTACTCTTAAACAGTACAAGATAAGTGCTATCTGTTGTTGCTGTTATGGGTTTAGATTATTCATTTGTTGAATGGAATGGGAATATTTTTGTTTAAATACGTATCGATTTAATATACACTTACACAGCATGTTTTCTAAATCAATGTCATTACTTCTGGTTGTCTCGGAGACAATTCGCTTTCGACCCTTAGGCTTTTTAACGTAAAATAACCCAAAGGACAACCTACTGAAGTTATGACATACACCTGAAGCATTATCTGCTATGTATTCTATAATAGTTTATCAAGGAAAAAAAACAAAGGAAATATTCGGAAATCCGTAAATATGGAAAAGTCAGTTACAATTTGTAATTACGGTAAATTTTTTAATGAAACTCTTTACATACCCCTTAAAAACTCTAACAAACAGAACTAGAAAACCTTAATAATGATAAGTTACGTTTTATTTTTTTAGCGATCTAAGTCTTCCTAATCTGCGCTTCTTATCAAGCCAACAGGCCATTGAGGACATCGCAACTTTCATAAGTGCGATGAATCGCGAGTATCATTTGCCGCAAAATGTGAAATGGATACTTTTCGGGGGATCTTATTCGGGGTCTCTGGCCACTTGGGCCAGACAGAAATATCCCCATTTGATACACGGTGTCATGGCATCCAGTAGCCCCGTTTATGCCCATTTGGATTTCTACGGTAAGTCAATGTCTTGTTGTGACAACCTTAAAACGTTTAGATTTAACATTTTGACAAAAAAAAAACCTGTTCTGTTGCAATAACAACAATAAATATATTGCTTATGTCTCGACCCAAGCACTTGTTCAAGTGGAAAATTTCTAAATCAGTATCTTATTCCGAAACTATACCAATTGTTATTTTAATGTATTAATGAGATTAACGCTAAACCCTGCTAATATATGATTATTGTTACTTTACGGTATCATAGAGTATGATTTATTGAACGTAATAGATCAATGTCAAACTGAACAGTAACATAACTTTCTTTATTTTAAAACAAATTCACAAAAATTTCCAGTTGACGAACAGCCAAAACATAACTTGCTAAAAAACTACGGACTAAAGCCAAGTCCGGCATTGAAGTACACCCTCAATATCCAATGAACATATTTCTCGTTAATAATTACGTACCGGTTATTTTATATCTGCTACTGCTTCAAGTAACGGTTGCTATCTAAATACTGTTACTTTGGAGCTGTTTCTCGGAACTGTTATTTGGGAACCGTTACTTTGCAACCGTTACTTAGGAACTGTTCCTTTGGAACTGTTACATTGGAACCGTTCCTTTGAAGTCCTTACTTAGGAACTGTTCCTTTGAAAACGTTACTTTGGAACCGTTACTCGGGAACTGTTCTTTAGGAACCGTTACGTAGGAACCTTTACTTTGAACCGTTATTTTGGAACCGTTACTTAGGAACTGTTCCTTTGGAACCGTTACTTAGGAACTGTTCCTTTGGAACCGTTACTCGGGAACTGTTCTTTATGAACCGTTTCTTGGGAACTGTTTGGAACCGTTACGTAGGAACCTTTACTTTGGAACCGTTACTTAGGAACTGTTCCTTTGGAACCGTTACTTGGGGACTGTTTCTTTGGAACCGTTGCTCCTTGACAAAGATATACATTCGCAAACACTTTTCATTCATTGTGTAACAATTTAAACCTTATTATAGAATACTTTGAGATTGTCTTCAACAGCCTGTCCAGTAACAGCCATCAGTGTGCGCTCGCGATGAAGAAGTCTTTCGAACAGCTCGAATATTACATAAACAATCCGAACGAGGAGAACGTCACAGCCCTGTTCAACCTGTGTCTCGACATAAACCTTGACGAGAACAGGATCGAGAACAACATCGCGTACCTATTCGAGAGACTCAGCAGTAGGATAGCCGGCGTGGTGCAATATCACGGGATTGCCGGCCAACCCACCATAGACTCCCTATGCAACATCTTCAATAATGTATCTCTTGGTAGAGAGATCGATAGACTGGCGGGAGTCGCTAGGTTTTTGTACGGGACTAGTTGTGTCGCTTATAGGTTCCAAGCTCTTTTGAATACTTTGGGCAACACGGCTATTTTGTCTACTAGGAATTGTAAGTATATGCGTTTTTGTGCTTGAAAATTGAGGCTAAGTTTAGATTTACTTTTAAGTTTCTAAAATAAACCCTTGAAAACGTTTAAGGTTCGGAAATATTTGATCTCGAGATTTCATTGGTACTTGTCATTTTTTGATTTAATTCATATGATTAGGAAATAATAGGTATTTTAATGTTACTATCTCGAACATATAAATTAATAGATTCTTAATGAGGAATTAATTTTACGGTACTTTTTTAGAATTCCTGTATGATATTTATCTTTTTTATCAAGTAAGTACATTCCAAACACTTCAAAACTAACATATTTCTAATAGTTGTGAATTTTTGACGCTTCATGAAGAAGTGAAATTCATGTAATGTACCAAATCTGTTGTCAAATAACTTTATGAATTTATTTACGAATAAGTGCGTTCCAATTTTCCTCAATTTTACCTTCAAGTTTGCAAGTACCAACCAGCAAATTTACTGCAGTCGAATTAGAGTTTGAA